GTGTGTGTGTGTGTGTGTGTGTGTGTGTGTGTGTGTGTGTATGAAAATGGGGATAACAGTTTGGAAACTGTGTTGCAATGCTAGAGTTAACCTTTTATGTCACTGAAAGGTGACTCACTTACCTAAAAATTAGAGCAATTTTTTTCTGTTTGTGGTTTGGAATCCCACCTCTTAAGAGTTTGCATTTTAGTTTTAAATTTGTAGCCATGGATAACTTCCATGAAACCACAAGCTTTCTCTTGAAAGAACAAACAGTGTATAAATTAACCATGTAATATTAATAGAGCTGCCAAGTTTGAAATGCTGCATCTCAGAAAGTACTTTGTGTGCAGACTAAAATCTGAGAACAATCTCAGAGCCTAAAAACAGGTTGCATAAGCTATTGCTTGATCACCGTGAAGAGGCAGTTAGTCATGAGTATGTTTGTCGGACTCATGGTCTAGGTTTGGCTTCAAGACCAGGCCCTTCTTGACCTGTGATTTAGAACAAGCTCTAACGCCTGTCTTATTTCAGTTTCCTCATTTGTAAATATGGGGGTGTCTTACCTATCTCATGGGCTGTGTGTATATTTAATAAGATACAATTTGTGAAAGCTTAGAGCACAGCACTTGCCAGGAGTAGGTGTTCAGTGACTGGCTGTCAAAAAGATAATGTTTGTCCAGCCCAATTGATGAGGTTATTAATCAGCAGAATTTAAACAATAGAGATAAAAATCTATTAAAAAGCCAATAGATTCTGAGAAACCTCTAGCAACAGAAAAAAAAAAGCCAATAGAACATGACCTAGTGTGATTATAAATGATACAATTTTTAAAAAGTTTGAAAATAAACATATATACTTTTTATAGAAAATGTATACAAATAGTGAAGTAATGAGAATAAACAAGGCTGGGGATGGTGGCTCTAGCCTGTAATCCTAGCACTTTGGGTGGCTGAGGCAGGAGGACGGCTTGAGGCCAGGAGTTTGTGACCAGCCTGAGCAAGAGTGAGACCCTGTTTCTACAAAAAATAGAAAAATTAGCTGGGTGTGGTGGTGCCCACCTGTAGTCCCAGCTACTTTGGAGGCTGAGGCAGGAGGATTGCTTGAGCCCAGTAGTTTGAGGTTGGAGTGAGCTATGATGACATCACTGCACTGTAGCCCTGGCAACAGAAGAAGACCCTATCTCAAAAAGAGAGAGGAAAAAAAGAATAAACAGGTTTGGCTTTTATAGACCCATAAAAGGATTATATTTTTATGGAGAGGATTCGTTTATTTATGTTCATTCTTATAAGCCTATTTTTTTCTGTAAGTTCCCAGTATCTCTATGCACACATTCACTATTTGTACCATTTTCCAAGATTTATGACATAGTGTATAGGGTTGAAATTGAAACACTAACAATAACAAAACTGTCCTGGTGAAATGCTGGTTATTGGGGAAATACAACCACCTGAGGTAAAAAGCAGTGTAGGATGAATTTCTGGTTTCATAAGATATTTTGAAAGACTGCGTGGTATATACCAGCCAGTGGATGATGGATTCTGTTTTGGCCTTCCAGATTTGTGATTCCAAGTTACTAGGCAGAGCCACTTCTGATCCTCATCTGCTCTTCAGTGTCTTAAACACTGATGGGCGGTGATGCCTGGTTGTAGCTGGGTCAGAAGCTGAGTGCAGGGAGCCTCTGCGTTCCTGAGCCTGGAGCTGGTGGGGTGGAATGGCTGGATCAGTAAGCTCTGCCTCAGGACACCTCTTGTGCCAGCCATGTTCCAAACTCAGGGCTCTGGAAGTGGCTGGGTTGGGGGAGAGGCAGTCGCCTCACCTGTGAAAGAGGGAGACCGAACTCCTTCCTTCCATGGGGGTTGGTGTGCCAGGTCCCTGGGAAACCTCTACTAATACTTTC